TTTGCAACAGTAAGCAGCTTCTGGACTCAGCACAAGTGAGACGAGTGTCATAATATCAGGCTCTGCTGGCTATTAACAACAATATTCCCCCAGAAAAGCTATCAGACATAAGGGAAAGAAAAGCCTGCTCTAAAGGCCCACACACAAACTCACCTGTTTCTGAAAGCAACCTAAATTCACCAGAAAGAAAGGTGCACAGTCCTTTGGTGAAAAGAGACTCATTTAATAGGCTCTGGGTGCATCTCAGTGAGAGGTGAGACCTCCCCAGGCCAGGACCACCTCCCCAGGGACGGAGACATCGGCAGCAGCTGTAGGGGAAGAAGAGAACTCCTCTACCCTCTAGGTCCTTCTGACTGGTCTACAAATTAAATTGACATGAGACAGAATAACAGGAGAAAATCAAAGCTTTATAACATGCATACATGGGAGAGACCCAGGAAAACTGAGCAACTCACCAGAATGGCAGAGGTTGCCACCTTAAATACCATCTTTAGCAAAAGACAAAGGAGGAAGTTGGGGGTCGGGGGAGTCACTTATGGGACATTGCCAGAAAAAGCACAGTCAACAAGAATAAGGTTATTATGCAAATTTAAGTCCTTACCTTCTGCATTGATAAGAGTTTCTAGAGATAAGGTCATCCCCCTCTTCCTGGTACAGAGAGGGACACATCTTTACAAATGGTGATTTCCCTTACAAATGTAAATGTCTCTTACAAAGGGTAACTTCTACTTTTCAGAGTTTCTTCCCATCTGTAGTTTCTTAAAAGTAACCAACCCAAAATAATCCTCATGCCAAAGAGACACATGTTGAGGTGGCAACATGGATGGACCTTCAGGGTATTATGCGAAGCGAAATAAGTCAGAGGGAGAAAGTCAAATACTGTATGATCTCACTCAGAAAGAGAAGATAAAAACAACAACAAACAAATGCACAGAGACAGAAATTGGATTGGCGGTTACCACAGGGGAGAGGGGAGGGAGGAAGGTGAAAGGGGTGTTTAGGCACATGAGTGTGTTGGTGGATGGTAATTAGTCTTTGGGTGGTGAACATGATTTAATCTACACAGAAATAGAAATATAATGATGTACACCTGAAAGTTATATAATGTTATCAACCAATGTTACCTCAATTAAAAAAAAATTGGGAGAATGTTTCATAAAATCTTGGAGTGGTAAAGATATTTCTTAATAAGAAATGAAATCCAGAAGCCATATAAGAGAACACCAAGAAACATGACTGCATAAAAATTCAATTTTTCTATCATAAAATATCATAATTAAAATAAAAAGATTAAATAGGAAACATTTTCACCAAACATATGACAAAGAACTGAGCTTCTGGGGCCGGCCCCGTGGCCATGTAGTTAAATTCACACGCTCCACTTTGGTGGCCGAGGGTTTTGCTGGTTTGGATCCTGGGCATGGACCTAGCAGCACTCATCAAGCCATGCTGAGGCAGCATCCCACATAGCACAACTGGAGGGACTTACAATTAGAATATACAACTATGTACTGGGGGGCTTTGGGGAGAAGAAGGAGAAAAAAAAAGATTGGCAACAGATGTTAGCTCAGGTGCCAATCTTTAAAAAAAAAAAAGAACTGAGCCTCTAAAAATCAATAATAAGCAAAAGACTAAGAACCTTAGAAACAGAAATAGTCTCTCACATGCTGCCACTGGGAATATAAATTGGCACAACTTCTTTGGAGAGTAATCTAAGATGTACCTACTTTCATTTAGCAATTCCACTTCTAGGAATTTTTCCCACGTGTGTTCTTGTACATGTGAGCCAAGAAACACACAAACACCAAGATGTTCAAGGCAGTGGTGTTTATAACAGCAAAGACTGGAAGCACCTATACGTCCACCAATAAGAAAATGGTTAATGAATTACAGAACACAGGCGCAGACATGAAAATAGACTGTGATAGATCTCCATGTGCTCTCACATGGAACATTCTCAAAGATATCCTGAGGTCAGTACAGAGTCTGATTTACAGCACAGGAGCTGAAGTCAGCTGCGTGGGTTAAAATCCTGGCTCTTCTCTTACAACTCAACAACAGAAAGACAAGCAACTCAACCTAAAAATGGGCAAAGGATTTAAATAGACATTACTCCAAAGAAGATATACAACTGGCCAATAAGCACGTGAAAAGATTCTCAAGATCGTTAGTCATTAGGGAAATGAAAGTTAAAACCACAATGAGATACTACTTCACACCAATGGGATAACTATAATGAAAGGAACGGAAAATAAGTGGGCAAGGATGTGGAGAAATTGGAACCCTCATACATCGCTTGTGGGAATATAAAACGGTGCAGTCACTGTGGAAAAGTTCGGCAGTTCTGCAAAAAGTGAGACATAGGGACTGGCCCAGTGGAATAATGGTTAAATTCGCACAATCTGCTTCAGTGGCCCAGGGTTGGCAGGTGGGGATCTTGGGTGCAGACCTAATGTCACTCATCAGGCTATGCTGTGGCGGCATCCCACATAAAACAGAGGAAGATTGGCACAGATGTTAGCTCAGCAACAATCTTTCTCACAAAAAAAAAAAAAAGAGAGAGAGAGTGAAAGAGAGACACAGAGTTACCACATGACCCAACAATGTCACTCCTAGGTATATACCCAAGAGACTAGAAAATACCTGTGCACGCAAAACTTCTACATGAATGTTCATAGAAGCAGTGTTATTCACAAGAGCCAAAAAATGGAAACAACCCAAATGTCCATCAATTGGTGAATGGATAAACAAAATGTGGTATATTCACACAATGGAATATTATTCAGCCATAAAAAGGAAGTACTGATACATGCTATGACATGGAAAAACCTTAAAAACATTACGCTAAGTGAAAGAAAACAGTCACAAAAGGCCACATATTGTATGATTCCATTTATATGAAATGTCCAGAATAAGCAAATTCATAGAAACAGAAGGTAGATGAGCGGTTTCCAGAGGCTGGGGAGCGGGGCCTGGGGAGTGTCTGCTAATGAAGTATGGGGTTTCTTTTCTGGTGTGATAAAAATGTTCCGGAATTAGAGAGTGGTAATGATGATACAACCTTGTGAACATACTAATAACGACTAAACTGTACATTAAAATGCTGACTTTTATGGTATGTGAATTATATCTTTCAAAAATCTTGGCTCTACCACTTACTGGCTATTTGACTTTGGGAGAGATACTTAATATTTCTGAGCCTTAGTTTCCTCAGCTATAAAATAAATATATAATAAGCTACACTAAATAAAACTTACTTCTCTTAGGGTTATGTGAGGATTAAATGAATGAATATAGGTGACGTGTTTAGAATGATGTTTGGTATACAGGAAGCACTCAACAAATGTTCGCTGTTATATGTTAGGTTGAAAAAGCAAAGTGCACAATAGTGTATATAATATTGTAATTTGTGTTAAAAAGAAAAAAATGGTTTATATTCCTTAACATCCATCAAACTTTTCTAGCAGGATATATGGGGAAACAGTGTCTGCCTCTGGGGAGGGGGCACAGGGTCTGGCACGGAAGAGAGATTTACTTTTTATTATATATCCTTTAATACTGTTAGAGATTATCATGGGCAAAGATTACCTTCTCAATAAAACCATAGTATTAAAAAAAAAAAAAGAACTGGCAGCAGTTTATATCAATGCCGCGCTTCTGATAGCGGTGCAATGGCACGTTGTCCCTTCAGTCAGGAGCACCCAGCAGGGCCCCCATGAACAGCTCGCTGAGCCAGCTCTCCTTTGGGACTTCCTGTCCAGTTGTCTCTGCCAGGCCATTGGCTCTCAGCTGCTTTCCATTCCTGTTAAAATCTGCCACCATGCACTCTGACCACTGGACTTCCCCTCTCCACCAAGGCAGATCACAGAGTAGGACACGACAGCTCACCTCCTTTCTTCTCTCTCTAGAGCAACCCCACCAGCCCTGTCAGCAGCAAGGACCGTAACGCTGCCGGGCTTTATCTTCCCCCATTTTACAGGAGAAGGTCAGAAAGGGTAAACAACTTGCTCAAGCAACACAGCTGATGAGATGCAGCACCAAGATTTGAACCTGCCTATCTTTTCCACCACGCCCTGCTACTTCTCAAAAGTTTCGCTGCTAAATGCTGAGGGGAAACAGGCAGCGGTAATAAATACGGAGAAAAGAAGAAGGTTCAAGCAATCTTCTACAATATTTGCTGTACTTGGCCCAAGTCCTATGGCCGGACTCTCTTACTAGTCGGTGTCTCGGGAAAGCCTCAAAACCTCTTGCCCGGGTCAGGGTCCTAGGGGCCTCTCCCCACTACACGAGGTTGCACCAATGTAAACTACCATCCACTGAAGTCTGTGCGGGAAAGCTGGGGGAGGAGAGGAGAAGAGGCGAGAACACACACTAATCTAGTGCCTCTCGTGTCCTGGGGACTGTGCTGGTGGCAAAGCTCAGTGGTTAAGAGCTCAGGCTCAGAGTCAGACAGATCTGTATGCAAGCCTTGGCTTTATTACTTATTTCCTTTGTGAATTTGGAAAAATTAGTTACCTGCTCTGAGTATCACTTTCCTCACTAAGAAACTGAAGATTGGCAGGAGTAATTGTCTCAGAGGACTGTGACAGTAAAATAAAATACACTGCATGTACAGGTTTAGCATACTGCCTAACACGCAGCAAGCGTTCATCACATGTTAATGATCATCACTACATCAGGGAAGCCCGTAAGAACGCCAGGAATTACTGCCCCCACTTTAGAGAGTAGGGAACTGAGACTCAGCGCTCTCTTTGCATTGCACCCAGACTCCTGAGTTTCAAGCAAGTAATTTAAACTCCTGGAGAAATCCAGACAAAATGGTCACTCAACTTGTGCCTATCTCAGCCAGGAATTACCCTTAGGAGATGACCCTTAGACCTGAGTCTACAATCAGAAATACCCAATTCTTACCCTAACATCTTCACAGGGCTGGTTTCTAGCCAGATCTCCTAGCCCCTTTTAAATCATCTCTACTATTAAATTTCCATTCATGTGCTCACCTGCTTAGGAAGTATTTTCTGATATTGTTTGGCTTCTGATATCCCCTTGACTTGTTGTGTAGCTTTCTTCAAGACCAGAGTCTGCGAACAAGGCTCTGTCAATGCAATATTAGGAAAAAAAAAATGATCATTGGAAATTGTCAGCTGTGATGAGACAGAAAGAGCATACGGTAGATCTCAGCTTCCTATTAGCGTGAAAATGCCTGGGTGTATTCAAATCATTGGGAGATGCTAGAGGAAGCAGCTCAGTAAATTCATAAATTCATACAATTTCACTTGCATTTTAGCCAGATCTACACCTGTGGCCATACATTTGTCCATTTACTTATCTCTTTGTCTGTCTATCCATCCATCGAACAAACATTTACTGAGCAGCTATTATGTGCTGGGCCCGTGCTAAGTGCTGGAAGCAGACCATCTTCAAGGAACTCATGGCTTCGTGAGAAAAAAATACATGCAAATAATAAATGTAACACTAACTCAAGTGCCATGATAGAATTTTCTACAGTACACCATGGTCACAGAATAAGGAAGGAGAGTCCTGAAGGCTTTAAAAATGCTCAGCAGAATCAGGAAGGGTGTTGTGATTAAAAGAGAATAAAGGCCCAACTCTTGCACAAAATTATGGCTTCTCTGTAGGAGAATGTTAACAGAGAATATCTTAAAGATGGGCGGAGAGAAACACAGATCATCCAGAAAGGGATAACAATCAGAATGATTGCAGAGTTCTCAACAGTAACAACAGAAGCTAGAAGACAGTGGAATAAAACCAGAGCATTGTAGTAAACTTGCATACCCAGAAAAACCATCTTCAAACAAGGTGAAATAAAGATGTTCATAGAAAAACAAAAACTCAGTGAATTTACCAAGAACCCCGTGATAAAGAAACTGCTAAAGTTACTCTCTCTCTCTCTCTATATATATATAACATACAATATTTATTTATATATATATATCTTTATTTATATATGTAATATTTATTTTTTCCAGGAAGAAAGAAATGAACCCAGAAAGATGGTCTGAGCATCAAGAAGTGGGCAAATAAAATGATAGTTTAAGACCAAACAAAAATTATCTATAATAATAAGAAGAATATGTAATTTGCTAGGTTTTAAAATAAGACAGAACTAAAAACACTAGACAAAATAGCATTTAAGTCTAGAGGGAAGAGATTGGGGTTAAATTAGGAAAGGGAGTTTTGTTCAGGAAAGGGAGTGGGTTAAGATATTATTTAACTTTAGATGAAGCTAAATATGCATGATAGAATTTCAAAGGCATTCAATAAAGCAGGGTTTCTCAGTCTCAGTGCTATTGACATTTTGGGCCAGGTGACCCTCTGTTGTGGGAGACGTCTTGTGCATTGTAGTATGTCTAGCAGTATCCATGACATCTACCCACTAGGTGTCAATAGCAACCTCTTCCCAAGTTTTGACAACCAAAAATGTCTCTAGACATTGCTAAATGTTCCTTGGGGAGAAAACTGCCCCCTTTTGAGGATCCCTGCAATAAAGAATGTAAACAGGACATATAACTTCCAAAAATTTAGAACAAAATGGGTTAAAAAAAAGAGAACCAAAAAAACTCAATCGGGATTCTGGTTCTGGTTAAGATGGAGTAAGCACACTCTACCCTATCTCCCACTGAATGGAACTAAAAACCCTGGACGTAAGACATGGGGTAGCTATCTGAGGACTCTGAAAAGTAGATGCTAGCAGGTGAATTCGAGAAAAAGATCAGAACTCAAAATAGAAACCATATGGCAGTCAGTTTCCTGGATTTATTTTTTCCTTCTATATGTCCCAGCTCCAAGACAACATGAATCCAAGAACGGAGCACCAGCTGAACACAGAATGAGATCCAATAGCAGCCATCTGTTTGTGGTCCAAGGAGTGGGAAGGGAAACCCCCAAGGGACAGTGAGAGTTGTTTTCTCTTCCACACATGCATCCGGAAGCTGCAACTCTGTAACGGTAGTGGTAGCAGCAGAAGTGGCAGCTGCACAGGCACCTAAAACCTGGAGGGAGGGGAACCCTTCTCTTGGACCGTGGAGCCGTGGTCCAAAGAGTGCAGAAGGAAGCTCTTGCTTTGTTTCTCTCTCTGTCCTCCTCCCTGGTGGCCAGGGAAGCAGATTCAGTCACAAGAAGTATGTGGAAGAGTGGAGAGACTGAAGTCTCCACTTTCTAGCAGAAGACCAGGAAGGAGTACCTTTGTAGCCAGAGTGTGGGGAATATTGCAGAAAGGAGAGCGATCAAGAAAGGAATCGCATAAAATTGTATATGGATGCCCACACTCACCCTGAGCTGCACATATATATGTGTATCTGACCCTAAATGGCATACCAAAGGCTTTGAGAACTGGACTGCAAGGTAGATCACTGCTCAGGTGTCAAATGTGGTGCTTGGGTGGCATACACTAGGACAGATCCAAAAAGCATTACAAAAGTTTTGAAAACTGAACTGACATTGAAACCACAATCTACAGAAAACAGGTCAGAACTTGTAACCTGAACCTAACTGGGTGAACTACCTCCTAAAACAAAACAGAATACTTCAACCTTCTTCATATGTTTAAACAAGACTCAAAGTCTCATAATATTCAAAATGTCCAGAATACAATCCAAAATTACTCAAGATACAAAGAACCAGGAAAGTTTGATACATTCTCAAGGGAAAAAGACAATCAATGTTGCCAACCCTGAAATGACTCAGATGCTAAAATCAGACAATGACTTTAAAGCAGCTATTATAACAATGCTGTAAGAAGTAAGGGTGAAAACTTTTGAAACAAATGAAAAAAAGGAAAGCCTCAGTAGAGAAACAGAAGCTATCACAGGGAACCACATAGAAATTTTACAACTGAAAAATACAACTGAAGTGAAAAATTCACTGGATGGGATCAATAGCAGACTTGAAATAAGAGAGGAAAGAGACAATGAACTTGAAGATAGATCAATATAAATTATCCAGTTTGTGTGGTGTTTCCTGACACCACATGTGTGGTTTTTCCACACCAATTCTCCAATTCTCTGAAATAAACTGGGTATCTGACAATTCAATTCAATTCCAAATCTACCTGGAGTTAGTGTCAGAGCCCACAAGGTAAAGGACTCAGTTGACAAGACTGACCCCACTTTAGGCAGCAGTCTCAAAAGGGGTGCCCAGGATATTCAGCCACTTACAAATTTTTGGGTTTCTACAACCTACCCTCAGGTTGATAATTCACTAGAATGACTCACAGAACTCAGGAAAGTGCTACATTTAGTATTACAGATTTGTTATAAAAGCTATAACTCAGGAACAACCAAATGGAAGGGCATAGGGCAAGGTTTGGGGGGTGGGGCACGGAGCTTCCACGCTCTCTTCAGGCATAATGCCTTCACAGCACATCAGTGTGCTCAGCAACCTGGAAGTTTACCAAATTGTAACTGCGTAACTGCAGGCCTTCCAGGCCCAGTTCAAATGACCCCATCTCTTATCAACAGAGTGATTAAGAATTGCCCTTCAGAAAATCTGCAAAGTCATGTAGCCAGGGCATGTGCAAAAGAAGAAATTGTGACCTGAAATGAGCTTGGAACTAAAGATCCTCCTGCCCACGGAACCCAAGGACCAGGACACGACTGGAACTTGAAAGTCAGACTCTCATCAGAAGCAACAAGTCCCTCATTCAGGAAGATCCGGTGTTAACATTCCTTCCCCACCTCATCAAAATGTCTAGAACCCCATCATAAATGTTTAGAACCTCATCATAAATGTTCAGAACCTCATCATAAATGTTTAAAACCTCACCATAAATGCTTGAAGCCCACCAATCAAGACCTCTCCCACCAGTGTTTCCACATGCCACACTGTTCTCCCTAACCTCTTAAATTTCACCCCAAATCCTGAATCAGGGAGATGGATCTGAGGGCACACGCCCCATCTCCCTGCAGATGGATCTCACAGAATAAAAGCTGATTTCTCCCCAAAGGCTGACACCATAGTTAATTGGCTTATGCAGATCGGGCAAAGAACCTCAATTTTGCACAGTAACAAAATCACACTGTTCAAGAGTTTTTATAACTCAATGCCCAGTCCCCCTCTCCTCTCTGGAAGTTGAGGGGGGTGGTGGGGCTGAAAGTTCCCACCCTCTAATTATGTTTGGTCTTTCTGGTAACTAGACCCCATCCTGAAGCTATCTGGGGTCCCAACCTGAGTCACCTTTTTAGCATATACTCAGGTGTGGTTGAAAGATGCTCATTATGAATAACAAAAGACACACCTACCACTTGGGAAATTCTGAGGGTTTAAGGAGCTCTTCCAGGAACTTGGGACAAAGAACAAATCTATATATTTTTTTTTTTTTAAAGATTTTTTTTATTTTTTCCTTTTTCTACCCAAAGCCCCCCGGTACATAGTTGTGTATTCTTCGTTGTGGGTTCTTCTAGTTGTGGCATGTGGGACGCTGCCTCAGCGTGGTCTGACGAGCAGTGCCATGTCCGCGCCCAGGATTCGAACTAACGAAACACTGGGCCGCCTGCAGCGGAGCGCGCGAACTTAACCACTCGGCCACGGGGCCAGCCCCACCAAATCTATATTTTTATTATACCACACAATCTGAATAATGTAGTCAAAAAAGACTGGAAAAAAATGGACAGAGCCTCAGGCATCTATGGGACAATATCAGCAAGTATATTTGTGTCAGCAAAGTCCCAAAAAGAAAGGAGAAAGAGTGTGATCCAAAAAAATTATCTGAAAAACTAGTGTTTGGAAACTCCCCAAATCTGGCAAAAGACATAAACTTACAGATTCAATAAGCCATGCAAACCCCAAACAAGTTAAATCCAAAGAAACCCACGTTCATAGACATCATACTCAACCAGTTGAGAGACAAAGAAAACATCTGGAGGGCCGCCAGAGGGAAACGCAGTTCACACAGGACTGTGGGCTTCTCATCAGAGCACCGCGGCCAGGAGGCTGTGGAACAATACTTGAAAGTGCTGAAAGAAAAGAACTGTCAACCCAGGTTTTTCTTCCAAAAAAAAATCCTTCAAGAATGGAGGTGAAATAAAGATATTCTGAGATGAAAGAAAACTAAGAGAATTCAGGGCCAGAAGGCCTATTTTAAATGAAATGCTAAAGGCAATGTGTTTTCTTTAGGTGGAAGGAAAATGATTCCAAGGGAAACTTGAAACTTCAGGAAGGAAAGAAAAGCAACAGAAAGTGTAAATATCTGGCTATATATAGTAAATAGACTATTTCCTCCTCCCACATTCTTTAAAATATACATGATGATCACTTTGAAATACAGTTTGACAGTTCCTCAAAATGTTAAATGTTTCACCCAGCAATTCCCCCCTCAGGTACACACACACCAAGAGAAATGAAAACATAAGTCTACACAATAACTTGAATGTTCAGAGCAGCATTTATTCAGAAGAGCTACAAAGTGGAAACAACCCAAACTGAATAAAAAGACTGTATCTAAAACATTTGTGGGAACCTCAGTGTTCAGAGGGAAATCTATAGCATTAAATGCTCGTATTAGAAAAAAAGTCTCATTTTCATTCAGTTCAAAATATTTTCTAATTTCCCTTGGTACTTCCTCTTTGATTCAAGGGTCTTCATGAATTGAATAGATACGTGTATTCTGGGGACTTGCAAAGTCTCCTACAAATATTTGCCTCTTTTTGGAATCCTGGCTATACTTCTCAATGAGTGGCCCCCAAGTTTTTATGGTTTTTGTGGGTTTTTTTTGTGAGGAAAATTGGCCCTGAGCTAACATCTGTTGCTAATCTTCCTCTTTTTGTTTGAAGAAGATTGTTACTGAGCTAACATCTGTGCCAATCTTCCTCTATTTTATGTGGGAGGCCACCACAGAGTGGCTTGAGGTCTGCACCCAGGATCCGAACCTGCGAACCCCAGGCCGCCGAGGCAGAGTTTGTAAACTTAACCACTATGCCACTGGGCCGGCCCCTAGTTTTTTTTTTTTTAATAACAACTTTAGTGAGATATAATTCACATACTAACTTCTCTGAGCCTCCATTTCTCCATCAAGAAAAAGAATGGTTTCAGTTTTTGGAATAACGATGATGTGCAAAATTGTCTAGAATGAAACTTAAGCCTTCCTCTTCTAACAGTGTTTTCTCAGGTTCTGAATTTGTCTGTCTGGCATTTATTAATTACAGGGCCAAACTAATGGCCAGAGTTGCTTACATCTCCCCTGTGATCCGGAGCCCACACTTTGAACCACCTCCTTTACCTAACTCTCACACATCAAGGCAATATTTGCCCCAACCTAAATCACCCCAGGGCCAGGTGCCAGACAACCAGGGGCAGCCCCCATACCCCAAACCCTGCCAGAATTACTCAAACTAGCCAATCCTAAACTGTTTACCCTGTCATGCCTAGCCTTTCCCAAGGAAATCCCAATAAAGGCTATGGCCTGTGTCCCTGCTGACTGACACTGGTGCTTCCACCTGCGGCCCTCTGTGGTGAGCTGTGCCCCTCATTTCTAGAACTGTGAGTTACAAACGTTTCTTTCAATGGCATTGGCCTCTCCGTGTAGTCCTTCAGTCACCTTTATGAATTAACACCTGGGCACAAATCAGTTTCTACCTCAATAAATGCTGGTTTCTGATGGGGGAGAAGAGCAGCAACCATGTCTTAGATTTATTTTCTTCCATTGCCAACCATCTCTTCCCCACACATGTCAGCCCTGTGCTGAACTCATCATTTCAAAAGCAGAACTTAATCAGTGCTTGCTGAACTGGAAGGACAATTACGTCCTCTCGTAAGATATTACTTGGTGCCAAGGCCCAGGCTAGAACCACAAGTGTAAAGTAGGCTGGCAAATTATGTTCAAACAAACCCAGGAAACTAGGGTTTTAGAGATAATAACTAAGTCAAAAGCCTACATTTCTCTTGCAGGTAGTTAACGTACCTTTTGTGGTATTCTGTTTTCGGGAGCTAGCCTCTGAATTCTTCCTGGTTGAACTTACATTAGTAGACTGCAGGGGAGAAAAAAAAAGAACAAATTTAGTCAAACTGGTAGTGAGAGGAATACAAAAAGTATACAGTATACTGCAATTTCCTAGATGTTTCTCATTGTTCTTAGCAAAGGAACATGCAGGAGACCCTTAGGTGCGTGACAACACAGCCCTCCATCCCTGGAGAGCGGGGGAGAGAAGCGGGCTGGGGACTGAGGCAGCCCGGGGTTCCAGGCCCAGCCCTGTCACTCGACAGCTGGTGACCTCCGACCTCTCGGTCGCTTTGGCTTCCTCACAGGCTTCTTATGAGGATTAAGTCAGCTAATGCACGCGAAGTGCATGAGTGGCTGCTCATGGTAAGCGTTCCAGCAACACTGCTACCATTGTGGATGCACTCACTCCCGCATCTCCTTCAGTAAACATTTCATTGAGCAACTACAATGTGGCTGCCACTGGGCAGACCCTGACACCTAGTCCCCGCCCAGAGGAGCTCCCAGTCTAGCAGGGGAGACACTAGTAAGTAGACAATACAGTAAGATGAGGAAAGCATCACATTTTTATTAGAGAGGTAATATAAGTTAAGATTAGGTTTGTATGTGAGTGACAGAGACTCAAGACAACAGTGGCTCAAACTAGGTAGAAATTTCTCTCCCACGTAACAGTCTGAGGGTAGGCAAGCCAGGGTTTACACAGCATTTATGTCCTCAGGGACTCTGACTTCTTCCAGCTATTGCTTCCACCTTTCCTGAAAGAGGACTCTTGTTCTTAGGGTCCAAGATGGCAGCTAGAGCGTGAGTCATCACATTTACATTCCAGGCAGAAAAGGGCAAAGAGGCAAAGGATTCGCATGAACTATTTTTTTAAGGAAGGCTCCCAGAAACCGACACATGGCACAGCCACTTATATCTCATTAACTGGGTCTTAATCATATGGTTCCACAGAGATGTAGGGGGCGGCTAGGCAATGTAATCCTTATTCTGGCCATGTACACGCCCAGGTAAAAATCAGAGGTTTTCTTTCTATAGAGGAAGGGAACAGATATTGGGGAGCAACTAACAGTCTGCCAAGCAGTATGAGCAGAGTATCACGGGAAGGCGGAGTAGAGAATGCTTGATTCTGTCTCCGGGAGAGCTGGAGGGCTTCCAAGGAGAGAAGACGCTTTTGTTCTGTCTTGAAGGACGAGTAGGAGTTTAGCAATGTTTAACAGATGGCCCACCAAGTGGCAGACAAGCAGTCCACCAGCCTCAACAACCACTTCGCTTTTACATAAATATGTGATTCGAATGGGAAGAAGAAAGCTGAAAGGACTTGCCTCATACCATGCAGCTGGTGTCCAACAGCTACTGATTTTTACAGCCAAAACGGTTACTGGGATTTGTTAGAGAGAAAACACTCCCAGGGCTCAATGAAGCGTCCGGCTCATTCTTAACTGGCCCCAGAGAGATGTGTAGTACGGCAGAGAATAAATGCCAGGAGACTGGCTTGGGTTTAAGTTCGTAGGCCCTCTTATTTGTTGTATAGGAAGTATGATGTTGCAGAAAGAGCTCAGACTGACGGTGCCCTGATGTCAGCTGAAGTCAGCTGTGTGGCCTGGGACAAGTTATTCACCTCTCTGAATCTACTTCTTCCTTTGTCAAGTAAAGAGAATGATTACCTACCTAGCAGGGGTGTTGGAAGGATTAGCAAGGATATATGCAAAGAAAATCTGCACACAGTGGGCTCTCCAAGTCTGTTCCCACGTTGTGACCATTCTCTCATGTTGTGACCGGCAATGACCCCGAGTGTGTGAGGCAAGGTGACTACAACTGCGATGGGCTAAGCTAAGACTGCTCTGGGCCCCCCTCCCCACCATGGCACAAAGGAGCTGGAACCGTTCTCCCCGACGTGGTCGCCTGTTGCTCAGATTCCGCACACTGAGGGCTTACCTGTGATGGGCCAGATGGGCAGCGTTCCCACATTGGTTTTGAGCCAATGTGAGATTCAATCTGGGGATGCCCAGAAATGTCTGGCATGGCAGTGGGCTTTGCAGATCTGGGATTAGCAGGTATGGGCATGAGCCCATGAATCTCATCCTTTGGTTTTCATCTCAAATGGCACTTTCTGGGAATGCTACTTGCCACACGTGTGCCATTCCTTCTCCACATACACGAGACCCATGCCCCGAGGGGAAAGACTTAAGCTGCTCTCCCAGCTGCTTTTGTGGCTGAGGTGCAGACATGTCACCTAGGCTTTCCCCTTCAGATGCACTGCACCTGCCTGAGACTTGAAGACGGAAATGAGCAATGAGTGCCATGCACACTCCAGTTTTTGGAGACTGTTGACAGGAGCACCTGGTTTTTCAAGGAAAGTAGAGCAGAGCTTTGAGCATCCAGTCCCCAGGAACTCTGGTCCACAGGAGTGTCCCTTTGCAGGGGTGGTATGGTTTGGGCATCATTCTTGGTGGCACAGCCTCTGAAACTAACGCATTGGCCCTTCCTGGGGAGCTGTGCACCACTAACCTCCTTTAATACATTCCTTCCTGCTTAAAGTAGCCGGAGCAGATTCCATTGTTTGCAGCTAAGAACTCTGGTGATGATTCCTCCTTATGAAGGCCTTAACTATCCTCTCTAATTATTAAATGAATGCGCAACCCAGTCTCTAACAGGTGGGAGCCCTTATGTAGAGCTGAGCCTCACAGCAGAAGCCAGATATACAGTTAGATGCTTTGTCACTCCCTCTGTGTAAATCCCCAACACTCAGCAAGAGAAGGGCAGACCACACGTCAGAGACTTAAAGAAACTGCAACTCGGGGCCCTGAGCCGTGGACTCAGACAGACTGTTGCCATCGGAAAGCACATTTTGAATCCGGCCAACTGTTCCCTTGAGCAGATGGGAAAGTGTGTCTACTGAAAACAAGAGTGCGGCTCTGTCCCCACCGCAGAATTCTGTTCCTCCCTCCGGCCTGGCTTGCCCAGTAAAACTTCAGCTGCTTTCAAGGTTGGAAAGCTTTTGATTATTTCTATTTCTGGGGCAGAAAACTGAATCTCTTAGCTGGCTTTCTGAAATAACTGTCAGAAGACTTCATGTGTTTCAGCACAAAGAAAATGCATTTGTTTTACACAGTTGTGACAGGCAGTGCAGAAACATTGACTAATATTTTGGTTTTGGCCTCTGAGTGACAGCTCTCCCTCCGCAGTGCCTGTTCTGTCTGTGCTCTCGGGGGCCGCCGTTTAGGGAGCACCTTCACGTGCTAAGCACAGGGCCAAGAGCTCACAGAGAGGGCCTCATTCATGGAGTCAGGGACCATTTGTTGAGTGTCTGTTCTAGGAGCTGGACACAGAACGGCGGTAGAGAAAAAAATGCCTGTGCTCATGGAGTTTACACTCTAACAAGGGAGACAGACACTATGCAACACATAAATCCCACAGGAAGAACAGCAGAGCGTGATCAGCACGATCCAGGCAATTAAAATAGGCAATGCGGTGACAGAGTAGCTGGGGCATCGTGGATGGCCTCGCTAAGGCAGTGACCGTGAAACTGGAATCTGGAGGACAAGAAGGAACCACCACTCCTTCAGGAACTCTGAGGGGAACATGTTCCAGGCAAAGTTGACAGTCAGTGCAAAGGCCCAACGGGCACAGGCCTGGAGTGTCCCGGAGGCAAGAGGAGTCCAGCGGGCTGATGTCCGGTGCTGAGGGGGGCATGGTGGGAGGAGGCTGGAGAGAGAGGTGGTGACTGGATTCTGCAGGGCAATTCAAGCCGGGCTAAGGAGTCTGGGTTTTATTCGAAGTGCACCAGAGAAGCTGTTGGAGGCTCTAAGCAGGGAACAACCTCACCTGGGGTCTGTCTGTTAAAGGTCACTCTGGTGGCTGTGTGCAGACCAGGATGGGGCTAAGAGTTAAGGAAAGGAGCCCAGACAGAGAGCTGACGCCAGGGGCTGGGGATCAGTGCTCTCCTCACCCCTTCCTAAGTCGAGGGGAGGCCGAGAGGGCAGCTGGATAGATCAGTGTGCGTTCTGAGTGAGGCCAGGGTGGGGAGGGAGATCTGGTGTCACTGGCATATAGGTGGTATTTAAAGCCACCAAACCAGATGAGACCACCTGGGGAGAATATGTAGATAGAGGGGACAAGGGGGCCAGGACAGAGCTGACTGACAGGACAGGGAGCCAGCAAGGAAGACGGAGAAGGAGCAGCCAGCCAGGAAGAAAGACACTTAGAAAAGTCTGGAAGTAAAGAAGCCAAGATAAAAAAGTGTTTCAAGAAGGTGGGAGCAGCCAACCATATGAAACAGACTAAAGCAGGGCACAGACCAGGGTCCTGGTGATATCGGCAAGGGCAGCTATGGAGCCTTGCTGGGGGCGGGATCCCATGGGAGCGGCTGAGGAAAAGAGCCGTGGTGCAGATGTGTCTTTCAAGAGGTTCTGCTGGGAAAATCAGCAGAAATGGGGATGCAGAGGCAAAGGAGGTTTTCTCTGTAAAGGCAAGGGACACCAGAGTAGGACCGTTCAATGATGGAAGCGATCCAACAGAGCAGGAGGAAATGATGACACAAGAAAGAGAGCCACCAAGTGCAGGAGTGGAAGCCGAGGCGGCAAGTGTCAGAGTACAAGTGGGGGGCAGGGCCCTTCCTGCACAGGTACAGGGCGTCAGCAGAAGGGGAGGGTACAGACCGGGGCAGGCTGTCTCAGGGCAGGAAGGTGAGGGCCTTCCTGTTCACTGCTTCTAATTCCTCGAGGCGACATCCCTGGAGGGCCCTGCAGGGATGTGGCCGTGGACTGACAGGAGCCCAGCCACACAGCCGTGTGCACTGCGATCTTCAGGATGCCAGGCAGAAGGCTCCATTGGTACTGTGCTCATTTCACACTTGTAGAAACCAAGTCCAATGGGAGTGAAGTAACTCGCCAAAGGCTGCACAGCTAGAATCTGAACCCGTGAGACCAGGCTCCTAACCATAGATTGCCAACCCCTGGGGACAAGAAGACCTTCCAAGGAAATGTGGGACTGCCAGCGCTAAGAACATCCATTTCCAGATCCTCGAATTTCCTCACAGACTATTTTTCTAAAAGTGACTGTCCTGAGAATGGGCAGGAGTTGGCAGTGGCTCTTGCCCCATTTTAGAAGAGAACAGCACACCCTTCACCTACCCCAAACTGTCCTCTGGGGACTGCTCCAGGGCGGAGACACCCCAACTCTGCACCAAAAAAAGGGAGAGGGCTGTTCTAACAATGGACCAAGCCCCTTACGCTACCTGCTAAGAAGGAAGCATGGCATTAGAAACGGGGATGCTGGTCTAGGGATCGAAGGTTACTGGGGAGACCGCTCTGGTCAGAGCAACGACCAGATGATTACACAAGCGCTCCAAAGGAGAGGGATATGAGCGCGTATAACAAGGGGCCCAGTCCAGACCAGGGTCAAGAGAGCCGACCCTGAGGACCAGGGCCTCCGCTGAGATGGAAGGACGAGTATGTGTCCCCCAAGCCAGGGGCGGAAACTTCTGCAAAGAGCCAGAGAGTCAACACTTTCAGCTTTGCAGGCCATGAAGTCTCTATAACAACCACTCAACTCTGCTGTTGCAAGACGGTCGAAGACAGGAGTCAACCCGTGACCGTGGCTGTGTGCCAGTAAAGCTTTATTTACAAAAACAGGCATTGAAAGGCCTCATTCATAGTTTGTCTGGACAATTATTTTTTCCAGCTCTCCGGAAAAAATAGGCCTTGATGGGTAGCATTTGGCTGGGTTCATGCTACCAATGAGAGATGATGCTGACAATGATGATGGCAGTGGTGGAGCGAGTTTACCTGGGACGAGAGGATGGGCAGGCACAGAGGCCAGGTATTGGTAGGGAGTGTGCTATCTGCAAGGAACTGTAAGAAGGCCTGCAGCAGGAGCTCCAAGAGCCCGGGAGGATGGAGACGGGGCTGGCTAGACCTGGCAGTCTACCCCAAGGCAAGAGGAAGCCTTCCGAGGCTTGGAGGGTGTTTTTCATTTGGGCTGGGAAGAGGGTGTTTGGGGGGGGGGGGTGTAGGGCAGGGCCGGGGGGTGATGAGATGACATCATTAGATCTGCATTTTGAAAAGATGGCAGGGGTTCAAAGAGCCCGAGGGAGACAGGAGCGCACTGCAGTAGGGATCGGGGAGCTCAAACTGGGGCATAGGGAGTGGCAGGGAGAGGAGTGGCGGGGGGAAGTGGGCAGAAGGGAACATGGACAGGCAGAGCAGAGCCAGGTGTCAGGAGGATGGCCAGGTTCAGGCTCACGATGAGGACCAATGTGGAAAAAAGATGCAAAGGCACCTTGCGCTGCAGCCTGCTCTTAAAGATCGGTTCCTCTCCTCCCTCCTCCCAGCCACTGGACGTCTGTGGCCGCCCCTTAGTGCTCCACTCATCCGTGGAGATGGGGGCACTACAGGGCCCCTCCCTGAGACGGTGGGCAGGGAGGACAGAGATGTGGGGTCACCCACTGGAAGTCACTGAAGCTTATGGGGCTCCAAGGGGTAGGGGTCTGCACCTCCCCACTCACCTGAGGGCAGTGGGCTTTCCTGCTCCAGGCGGACTTGTGGGAGAAGCATCTCTTAGAAGCGAGGAGAGAAAGCTCCCTTTCTAGGGAAGAGAAAAAAATGTTCTTCGGTTCCTTCTGGTCTTGGGGGTGACATTACAGACGGGGAGCTTTGAGACAGCCCCCTCCCTGGAGACAACAGCAATCGCAGGAGGACCGGCCTCAGGCAAACCAGAGCTTGTCTGTCATTCCACCTGCTGAGTAACCTCTCTGATCCCATTAAAGGGTGTGAATACCAACTACCCCGCAGGACTGATGCCCAATTAAAGGAAATGATGTATATGGAGCCGAGTACACAGGGCAAGCACTCAACTCACAGAAAAAAATGTATCGGCTTCAAAAGAAAAACAAAAAATTCAGAACCCTGCAAAACTGAGATGAATAAATTTTGGACTGAACGCTTAAAAAAGTAACCTATCCACCTCATAAGGTGCTAAATTTAGTATTCACTGAAATTCATTAAATTTAAAGACAATTTACAGGTGAGATTTTTTTTCACCCTGAAATTCCTGTGTGTCCATGACGACTGCTGGGAAAGCAAATCCATTAATTGGGTCAGTAACTGTAAATGCTTAGAAAAGTGGCATATAAAAGTGCCCGGCTCTGAGTAAGCGGTGGCTATCACCATTTCCAGCCCATAACTGCAGCCACACTCTTCTCTAAGGGCTGCCCGCATTCTCTGCCCTTGGGCCCTGGACCAGGGCTTCTCCAACTGGAATGTGCTTAGAGATCACTGGGGCATCTCGGTAAAGTGCAGGATCTGATTTAGCTGATCTAGAGAGACACTGATGCTGCTGGTCCTTGGACCACAATTTGAGTAGCCACAAGTCTTTGCCACAGCACAGGAACCACAGTGGGGCAGAGAGGTAAAGACCCAGCAGCCTGCTTCCCCATCCATGAAACCAACCAGAGAGGAGGCCTCAAGGGAGGGGGGCTCCTGAACCACCTTGCCCTCCTCCACTGCCCATCCTCTGTCTGCTCTTTTCTACTGGTCCCTAAGGGGGAGGGTGTTTGTTGAAATGAGGGTGGCTCTGCTAGCCCCAGTCCTGCTCATTCCTCCAGCACACCTCTCTCTCTGTCAGGCTAAGGCTTTAGAATGAGCCACACCCTGTCTTCACTTCTGCATCGCTTCCCCGGAAATCTCATGGAAACAGCTCTCTCAAAGTTCACCAGTGGGGGTTTCCTTTGGGGGGTGATAAGAATGTTTTGAAATTAAACAGTGGTCACAGCTGCACAACTTTGTGAATATACTAAAAACCACTGAATTAGACACTTTAAAAGGGTAAATTTTATATGTGAATTATGTCTCAAGAAAGCTGCTATATAGATAAAGATCACTAACTGTAAGATTCCCGGGCTTCGTGCTCAGCCTCGCTCTGTGCTCCTGCACAGCAGCTGCACTCTGGACCCCTCTCAGCGGAGCTCCACCTTGGCTGCCAGGGCCCTGTTTTCTCTGGGCTCCTCCTGCCTCTCCGAATCTTTTCTTCTGCCTCCTGCGTGTAGGGTTCCAAGGCTCTGACCCCAAGCCTCTTGTCTTCCCCCTTCTTTGATATTCCCATCTAGAAATAACTTGAACGAGCACAGCTATCTAAACAAATTCTCAATCGAGAGCCCCAGCCCTGACCTCTCCCCTAACCACATCCGCAGAGTCATCTTGGACATCTCCACCTGGACGTTCCATCATCTCCTCAAATTCATCACATCTACAATTGAACTTATGGCCTTTCTCCACAGACCTGATCCTCCTCTTGACTTCCTACTTCTAAACGGCATATCTGCAAATGCTGGCTGCCAGATGCTTAGAGCTGCTTTGAATCTGGGACCCTCCCCAGCTCCAGCCTCCTCCTGGCCTGACCTACTGTGCTTGAAGGGCTCTTGGATTTCCGTGAGATTCTATCTTCCTTCTGGCCTCATATCCATTTTCACAACTGTGCAGAAAAGTGAAAACAGCAATCCTGATTGCTGTACTTGAAAAGTCCCTCTTGCAAGGTGGGTCCTTGGCTGCCTCTGGGAACTTGGTTTTCGAGAAGGTTCCTACTACTCACTGGTAAGAGTGGCTCACCGTGTCTGAACCATCTGTACAAACAACATGGTTTATGCTGAATACCTGACTTCCTTCTGGGAGCCTGGAGTCTGGGCACGTGCCAGGCAGGGAGCGCCTGTGCGGAGTCCCAGTGAGAACCCCGGGCACTGAGTCTCTAACGAGCTTCCCGGGTGGCAACAGCTCACGAGTGTTGGCAACACCTTGCGGGAGGACTGAGCGGGCTCTGAGTGACTCCACCGGGAGAGGCTCTTGGGAGCCTGCGGCTGGTTGGTCTGGACTTTGCCCCGCGCACCTTGTTCCCTCGACGGACTGTGCTTCGTGTGCTTTCTCTGTAGTAAATCACAGCCTGAGTCCTGTGAGCGCAGCTAGGCAACTACGGGACCTGAGCATGGTCTTGGGGACAATTCCCCCGCCCTTGTTTACACAGGTTCCCACCTTTCAGAGAGAGGGTCTTTAGGGGGCTCTTCACTCAACACGGAAGCTTTCAGGCAGTGTGCGAGCAGCTTGGCCAGGGCCCCTCCAGGCACAGGAAGCTCACCTCGTGAGACAGCACTGCCTCTTACGGGTCCCTCCTTCGTGCAGTGCCCTGACTTTCCCTAAGGGCATCAGACTGAGGGAGGAGCATGGACTAACTGGCCAGAGAGGCAGAGACTGACAAAAGCATGCAGTTGAGTAGCCTGTCTGGGCAAAAGCCCAGCTCCCCAGCTCGGGGGGACCTTGGGCACATGAACCTCTCTGCACCTCAGCTCCTGCTGGGTGACGGGGATAACAGGATCCCTCATAAAGTCGGGGCGGGGGATGAAACAAAACACAAACAGCAGCTGGTGCAGAGAACAAGTCAGCATGCACTGGCATTATTTTTATTATTAATCAGGTCACAGCTATGTGCCAGACTCATATTCTTTGACAATATGAACTATTTTCTCCGTATTTAAGAAAAAAATAATCTCCTCACTCCTACCCCCCACCTCCAAAGGGTCCTGGATGTTGTTAAGGGGTTTGATTAGCTGGGTGTTTTCTGCCCTGGGATCCTACTGGTCACTAGAGACAAGGTTTTGCTGCATCCCTGGGGTACCCATAAAAGGGGCAGACATCCTCTAGCTGGAGAAAATACCTGAATGACCCAGGAGTGTGTCTCTCTGATTTTGTAGTCCTGAGTTTGAATCCTAGCTCAGCCACCCCCAGGTGGGTTCCCCATCAGTCCTCCCACTGCTGCCATGAGGAATGCCTCTCTGTTCCTCTCTGTGCCTCTGAGTCTTCTCACACGCTGTTCCCTCTGCCTGGAAGAGCAGACCTCCCCTCACCTGTCTAAAACACACATCCTTCCAACCTCAGCTTAAATGCCACCTACTGACCCTCTCAGGGCTGGACTGGGGTCCCGTCCCTGTGCTGCCTCAGCACTCCGTATTCCCCACCACAGCACCCAATGCACTGCATGACTGTGTTGCCTGCATTTCCCAGGAGACTGCACAGCAGGGCTGCACTTGGCTCCGTGCCATGTTCCTAGTATTGGTTCAGCACAGTGCTAGGGACAGAGTGCTCTTTCCGTGTCTGTTGAGCGAAATAAAGCTGGCCTTGGGCAAGCGGCTTCTCTGAACTCTAGTTTCCTCACCTGTGAAGCAGATTTGTGTGTACTTCAGCCAGTTGTTCTGAGCATGAATAAAAACGATAAAGAGCCCAGCACAGGGCCTGGCACCTAGCAGACACCCCAGAACTGGCATCTCATACTTTAAGACAAAAGTCCACCTCCACATCCCAGTGACCACGTTGTGCTGACTCTAACTACAGACCTGAAGCACTCGCATTCCAGTCACTTTGGTGGCCGGCCTGGGGGCACGTGAGAGGGAACCTGGCCTCAGGATGTCAGTACGAAGGTGCTTCCCTGCCCCAGCTGGATGGTGGCTGGTGTGGCAGGGCAAAGGGGTGGACGTCCCTCAGTGGCACCTTACCCTTTATCAGCGTTCTTCTATGCAACATTAACTCTTCTCTCCGGAATCTCTCTGGATCCAGTTCTGAGTAGTCCCAGCTGTTATAGCTCTGTGGGCAAGGATATATACCTAAGAGGGAGTCAAGAGTGAGAATGAAAACTTTCACAGAAGAGAACAGGAGGCAGAAAACAGAAGAGAGAGGCCTCGGAGGCGCCCCCTGCTGGTTCTGGGGAGGCTGTGCTTCCAGCATCAGCCCCACCCAACACTGGCCCTATGGCCTTGGACAGTCATTTCCTCTCTAGGAAGCTTTGGTTTCTCCATCAGGGAAGTGGAGATGGAGATACCCACCTGGCCTCCCTGACAATGGACAGTGGGGTGTGAGGGTCAGATCACCACGACACGTGAGTCTATGACGTGCAATACAGATGTGAAGGCATTACAGTTATTTGTTTTCCTGTCCATCTCCTTTGCTCTCACTGGACTCAGCTCCCTGAGGGCAGGGTCTGGGTCTTATTCATCTTTGCACCTCCAAAGCTTAGTATTGGACTTGGCACATAATAAAGAGGTGATTAGTAAATGTCTGTTCAACATATTATCATATCACATTTAGATAAGTACCAGAAATAGGTTCACCCTAAATACTTGATGGTCATGCTTACAGGACTAATGCTTTTCTTTTAAGGAAATCACGTGTTTCCAAGTCTGGGCTTCTTGGAACCTGAACCCTCAGACATTAGAGGGACTCCTCTGTCTCCTTTAGTTCTTTGGTTTAAGAAGGAAAAGACTAAGGATTTCTTGAGAAATCTGAGCCCCTATGCAAAACTGCTGTCTCCATTGCACAAAGTAAGAGGACAGAAGATTTATTACTGGGGATGGATTAGGGGAAGGAGGCATATCCTTGGACAAAAAGGGAAACAGGAAGGAGGAACAGAAAGAAGAGTCAGAAAATGGGAAGCAGGATGGCAGGGTGGTCAAAGACCTAGCTTTGCGGTGGGACAGCCTGCCTCTGAATGCCTGCTCCCCCATTTGTTTGCTGTTGAACTTCCTTGATCCTGCGTATGTTAACAGGATTAAACAGGTGTGCAGAAAAGAGTTAACATAGCAGGCCAAGACTGCTATCCTTAGAAAGGCCTGCCTGCAAAGCTGGCCTTTGGCTGGTAAACATTTCCTCGCCCTGACATACAACTTTCCCCAACTCCTTAGAAGAAATGGATAAATCCATAGAGGCATACAACCTTCCCAGACTGAATCATGAAGAAAAAGGAAATGTGAACATACAAATAACAAGTAAGGAGATGGAATCAGTAATCAAAAACCTCCCAACAAAGAAAAGCCCAGGACCAGATGGCTTCACAGATGAATCCTACCAAACATTTAAAGAAGAATTAACTCCAATCCTTCTCAAACTCTTCCAAAACACTGAAGAGGAGGGAACACTCATTTTAGGAAGTCAGTGTTACCCTGACCCCAAAGCCAGACGAAGACACTACCAGAAAAGCATACTACAGGCCAATCCCACTGACGAACATAGACGAAAAAATTCTCAAAAAAATACTAGCAAACCAAATTCAACAGCATGTTAAAGGGATCATATATCATGATCAAACGGGACTTATCCCTGGGATGCAAGGCTGGTTTAACATACACAAATCAATAAATGTGATGCAGCACATTAACAGAATGAAAGACAAAAATCATATGATCATCTCAATAGATGCAGAAAAAGCATCTGACAAAATTCGGCATCCTTTCAAGATAAAAACTCTTAACAAAGTGCATATAGATGGAACATACTTCAACATAACAAAGGCCATACGTGACATGCCCAGTGCTAATATCATTCTCAACAGTGGAAGGTTGAAAGATTTTCCTCTAAGATCAGGAAGAAGACAAGGGGGCCCACTCTCGCCACTCCCACTCAACATAGTACTGGAAGTCAGAGCAATTAGGCAAGAAAAAGAAAAAAAAAAGGCACCCAAATCAGAAAGGGAGAAGTAAAACTGTGTTTGCTCATGACATGATCTTGTATACAGAAAAGCCTAAAGACTCCACCAAAAAACTGATAGACTCATAAAAGAATGCAGTAAAGTTTCAGGATATAAAATCAACATACAAAAATCAGTTGTTTCTATACACTAACAATAAACTATCTGAAAAAGAAATACAGAAAACAATCCCATTTACAATAACATGAGAAACAATAAAATACTAACGAAGAAATTTAACCAAGTGAAAGGTCTATACATTGAAAACTATAAGACATTGATGAAAGAAATGGAAGAAGACACAAAGAAGTGGAAAGATACCCCATGTTCGTGGACTGGAAGAATTAATATTGTTAAAATGTTTATGCTCTCTAAAGCCATTAATAGATTCCATGCAATCTCTCTCAGAATTCCAATGGCATTTTTCACAGAAATAGAAAAAGAAATCCTAAAATTTGTATGGATCCACAAAAGACCCCAGACAACAAAAGCAATCTTAAAAAAGAATGAGGCTAGAGGCATCACACACCCTGGCTTTAGACTATATTACAAAGCCAGGGGAATCAAAACTGTATGGTACTGGCATAAAAACAGACACACAGATCAATAAAACAGAACTAAGAGCCCAGAAATAAATCCACGCAAATCCAGTCAATTAATATTCGACAAGCGAGCTAAGAATACTCAATGGAGAAAGGACAGTTTCTTCAATAGTGTTGGGAAAACTGGACAGCCACATGCAAAAGAATGAAACTGGACCCCTATCTTACACCATTCACAAAAACTAACTGGAAATGGATTACGGACGTAAATGTGAGATCTGAAATGATAAAACTCCCGGAAGAAAATAAAGGGAAAAAACTCCTTGACGTGGGTGTTGGCAATGATTTTTTGGATATGACACCAAAAACACAAGCAACAAAAGCAAAAATCAACAAGTGGGACTACATCCAACTAAAAAGCTTCTGCACAGCAACAGAAACAAGAAAATGAAAAGGCAGCCTACGGAATGAGAGAAAATATTTGCAGTCCTATATCTGATAAGGGGTTAATATTCAAAGTATATAAGGAACTCATACAACTCAATAGTAAAAACACAAATAGCCTAATTAAAGAGCGGACAAAGGACCTGAAAAGACACTTTCCAAAGAAGACATACAGATGGCCAACAAGTACCTGAAAAAGTGCTCATCATCACTAACCATCAGGGAAATATATATCAAAACCAACAATGAGCTATCACCTCACACCTGTTAGAATGGCCGTCATCAAAAGGAGAAGAGATGATAAATGCTGGCAAGGATGTGGAAAAAAGGAACCCTTGGGCACTGTTGGTGGGAATGTAAATTGGTGCAGCCACTATGGAAAACAGTAAGGAAATTCCTCAAAAAATTAAAAATAGAACTACCATATGATGCAGGAATCTCACTTCTGGATATATACCCAAAGGAAATGAAATCACTATCTTGAAGAGACATCTGCTCTCCCACGTTCACTGCAGAATTATTCTCAGTAGCCAAGACATGGAAATAGCCTAAGTGTCCGTCAATGGATGAATGGATAAAAACAAGGTGGTATATAGACACAAGGGAATATTATTCGGCCATAAAAAAGAAGGAAATCCTCCCATTTGTAACAACATGGATGGACCTTGAGGGCATTATGCTAAGTGAAATAAGCCGGAGAAAGACAAATACTGTATGATCTCACTTATACGTGGACTCTAAAAAAGCTGACCTCTTAGGAGCACAGAGTAGAACAGTGATTGCCAGGTGCTGAGGGGGTGAGGGAAATGAGGAGACTCTGGTCAAAGGGTACAAACTTCCAGTTATAGGAGGAACAAATTCTGAGGATCTAATGTTCAGCATGGTAACCATAGTTAACAATACTGTACTGTATACATGAAAGTTGCTATGGGAGTAAATCTTAAATGTTCTCACTATAACAACAACAACAAAATGGTAACCATGTGAGGTGAAGGATGTGTTAACTAACCTTATCGTGGTAAACATTTTGCAATATATACATCTATCAAATCATCACATTGTACACCTTAAACTTACTCAATGTTATATGTCAATTACATCTCAATAAAGCTAGAAAAAAATTTTTCCCTAACTGATAACAGTGACTCATTGTGCCTAAACAACGTGGCTTATGCTGAATACCTATTCCTGGAATTTTGGTATGTGACCGAGGTGTCTATGTGACTAGCCCTCAATAAAAACCTTGGGCGCTGCTTCTCTAGTGGGCTTTCCTGGGCACAAACATCACACGTGTTGCTACACTTTCACTGCAGAGGGATTGTGCAACTCCTCATGGGAGGGAGAGAGCGTTAGAAAGCCTAGCATGACCACCTCTGCCTGTCTTTCCCCTTAAGATCTGGCTGTGTATCCTTACTCCGTCGCTATAAGTCTTAGCTATGAAGTACAACTATATGCTGAGACCTGTGAGTTCTCCTAGCAAACCTCCCAACGCGGGAGTGATCTTGAAGACCCCCAACACAGTGGGAAATGTAAAAAGTGCTTACTCTCAATAAACAGTAGCTTTTAATGACCTTAAAAAACGTCTTCATTGAGATCGGGGAAGTGGAGAAGGAGCCTGAAAAGTCATTGAAAAATAAACGGGCACTGTGTGTACTGCAGGGAGAAGGGACTACGGTTGGGCCACTTGGGGTCATAGAGGGGTGGGAGGGTACGATTACCTAACCGGCATACTCCTTTTGGGTTCCTGAGTTCTGGGCATTAGCCCACAGCACAAGGTTAACTAACGGGGCCGTGCTGAAGCCTGCTCCCTGCGGATGCAGCTGGGCACAAAAGGAGGACTCAGAATGTCTCGGAACTGTTTGGAGGACGCAGGAAAATTGGTATTCTTTGGGGCTCTAAGTGCACACTTTACTTTCTTTAATGTCTAGGAGAGAAAAGGACAACTGTCTCAGTGAAGGGTGTGATGGCAAACAATAACATACCTAGGCTCTGGTGGCAAAAGATGTTTCTGGAGTTGCTTTCCCCAGGAGAAAGCAGCCACCTCTTACCTGAGATCCACAGGCTCATCGTGTTACAGACGGCAGACTTGAACTCGTGCGTGTTGAACCAGGACTGCGGGAAGCAGCAGCAGAAGCTGGTGTACAGGGCTTTACTCAGAAGTGATGGCAGCCTCTGGGGGGCAAGCGGAGCTCAGGCAACGTTCTGGACATTTCCACACCCACAAGAGAGTCCCTGGCTTCAGAGAGGATCTGTGATAAAACTCTCTACCCGACACCATGTGCCTTCGTTGTCATGAGGGAGCGCTTTCCACCTGCAGCTGCCCCACATCTCGGCGGACTCCTCACCTCACCTGGCGACCACTCCTCAATCATGCCCTGCTTGGCTAGCAGCCTCCCCCTCCCCCAGCTCCCCTGAACGTGCTCCATGGCTCAGTCCCTTCTACAACCTGGCCAAAGAGTAACCCAGAAGATGACAAGATACGTCTGACCCACCCACCTTGCTGTCTCCCAGAAAGAATAGCTCGTATTACTTACTGGGTTTTTTTCCCTATGCACAGGTGGTACTGTTGCTGCTTCATAACTATGGTTGAGCTCAAATTATATATTCATATCTGGCTTCATTCATTTAATATTATAACATAAGCACTTCCCCAGGTTATTACAAACTCTTTGGGATTTTTTTTTTCCTATAGTGACCTTCATAATATTGTGCTGAGTGGACATATCAAAATTTACTTCAACATCCCCCACTGGTGGATATTGTCTTGTTTCCAAGACTTTGCATTACAAATTACGTGGAATAATTATTTTTATTTATTAAGCTGTCTCAGTGTCTGGCATAGAGTAGGCCAGATTTGCTGAATGCATGAATGAAAGCAGCTTTTCCCGTATGTTAGATTATGCGCTCTAGAAGAGGGTGTAGTAACGGCAATTAGAACACCTACGATATATTGGGCGCTTATGGTGTGCTGGGTGATATGTCAGATGCCTTACAAACATCATCTCATTTAACCCTTAGGATAACTCAGTGAGAGAGGCATGATTAGCCCCATTTTATGGACAATGAAACGAGACACAGAAAGCCTAAGTGACTTATTAGGCAGACAATTAGTAAAAGTGCCTTTCAGCGTAATTGTATCAGTTCAGACCGTCAGAGTGCCATTTCCCTATACCCTCTACAACCCCGGGAATTATACTTTTTAATCTATGCAGTCTAGCAGATAAAAAGGAGTGTCGAATGATTATTGTTTTAATTTGCATTTCTGATTATTAAGGGTGAACTTTTTTCCCATTTGTATTTCTTTCCTGGTGAATTTCTGAGGTTTATACACTTTGTCCACTGGTCTATGAGGTGTTCCATTTTTTCTTATTGATTTGTAAGAGTTTTTTATGTTGTGTGACATATATGCAACCAGATACATTTACATTTGATTATACATTTTGCATTTGCCGTTTTCACTCTGACTGTAGTAATTTAAATAATTTACATAGTTAAATCGATCAGTCTTTTCCTTTATGGTTATTTCCTTGGGATCATATTTAGAAAGTCCTTCCCTACCCCCAAATCACATAAATATTCACTTATATTTTCTTCTAGCAATCCTTTCAGTACATATATATACACACACGTAAAAAGTATACTTGTATTTTAATTTCAAATTTTAAAAAATTTATATTTTATATTATATATATTTTTTATATTTATATATAAAACATAAAAATACATAAAATATATATATAAATTTTATACTTATATATAAAATATATTTTAATTTTAATTTTAAAATTACATGCTTATTTAAATATATAAAATATATAAAAAGTATACTTATATTTTAATTTTAACATTACATGCTTATTTAAATACTACGGAAATATATAAAATAGAGAAGGAAGTCTCTTATAACCTCATTCCCCAGAGATAACCATTGCTAAGAGTTTGGTAAATATTTCTCCAGATTTTTTTTATTCATAGGTAGACACACACACACACACACACACACACACATATTTAGCATAGAGTTGTATAAATTGCCTTGTTTTTCGCTTAAAATATATCACTACATCTTTCCCGATCAGTATATACACATAGAGAGAGATCTACCTTATTTTTCGTAACTGCTACATTACGAGTCAGTGCATGGATAGGTCGCAAGTGACCTACTGCTCCCTATGGAAGGAGTGGTAAGGGCATTCTATTGACCTCAGAAGTGAATAGATATTGAATGCAAGTTTTTCCTAACCAGTGGTTGATGCTCACTTTTAAGATTGCCTCTTCATAGTGGGACTTGGGTTCATGAAACAAAAGAGCGGCGTAGTGTTGGGATATCCGGTCAAACAGCTTGTTCTGGACCTCCTTGTTTGGCTACCAGAAATAAAAATGGAGAAGAAATTGCTAGAGTTCCTTGTTGAAACAGCCAAGGGCTGAGATTCTTAATACGTATTTCTCTCATTTTTAGGAATCTTATTCTCAAGGTATTTAACTTCATATTATTTATGAAATAATATACTAATTTATTTTATAGGATTTATAAAACATGTACATACAGGCAAAGTGTTGAAGAAAGCACCTTAACCCTAGGCCAGGAGGTCCCGACTTTACTCTTGGCCCGGCCCTTGACCAGCCACGTGACATGGACCAGCTCCTAAGGCTCAGGGGAGCTGCAAGACACTGAGTCATGGCTAACGCACAGGGCGCAGGGCGAGGTGTGGGTGGGGAAGCGAAGGGGTGACAGATGAAGCTGCAGGGGCGGCCCATGGAATCAGAGAAGCTTATAGCTCATGTTAAAGAGGCTGGGATTTGTTCCATAGAAAAACAACTTAAACAAAGGAGAGAATCAACCGGATTTGCATTTACCTGGTACCTTTCATGAAAGAGCCACCAGAAGCTGTCCAGCCATATGGCTCTTGGAGAAGGAGAAGAGAAAAAGTTCTCTAATTCTCTATCTGAACAGAAAGACTTGAAAAGAAATAAAACTCACATTATTATAGTTGTTGTTATTGTTATTGTTTTTTAAATTCACCTGGAGCCACAGCCAGATTCCTAATCATCTCCACTCAAAACCTGCCCTTCCTCCTGTCCCATGGCTTGTTATTGTTATTAATTGCACCATCTTTCCACCATCATCTTGGGAATCAACATACTTTGGAGTCAACTTAAAAAAAAACCACCTAACCTTTCAGTGAGTGCCAGCTGTTTGCCTGGCCAGGTGTTTGTACATGTTCTCATGTAATTATTATTATAATCACACAAGGCATGCATTATTGTCTCCATTTCACAGATAAGGAAACCGAGGACCAGAGAGCTGAAGTCCCTTGCCCAAAGTAATACAACCACCAAATGGAAGAGCCAAGATCAGAACCCATAATTCTAGACAGCTGCTCCATGCTCTCACCTACATTCAATCAACAGTAATCAACATCAACACACAGAGATATTACAGAAATGCAAATCAGTGAACCTTAAGATTCTGCTGAGTTAGTAGGAAGCATATAGAATTCTAAAATTAGAATAGAATTATAAGTGAACTCAGAGGGGCAGAAAATTCAGGCTTCACTGTCACACAACTGGGTCTTGAAACTCGCCCCGACTCCAAAGCTACTATTTTAATAACACGTAACATTTGTTGAATCCTTACTGTGTTTGGCTACACAGCTTATCTCACTTTATTTTTCACAAGCTATCTATGTGGTAGGTACTATAGTTATCCCCAGTTTATAGAAGAAGAAAGTGAAGATTGAAAGATTAGGATTCTTGCCTAAGCTCACACAGATCAGGAGGTTTGAAAGCAGGCAGCCTGACCCCAGAGACACCACACAGGCTGCCTCTCCTCTTACCATTAGGGGGAGCAAAGAGATCTTGCTCTTGCCACCCTCCTGGACACACAGGGAAAGACTCCTTGGCTCTCCCTTCAAGCCTGCAGAAGCTGAGGGAATCATGCACTGACAAGCAAGTCTCCTGTGCTTGGATAAGCAAAACTCCCTCATGAGCAAGGAGCTCTCCAGCCCTGCTCTTGGCTCTTTTTCACCATTGCTCACACGTCAAGTGAGGCAGTACAATGGAGCGGTCAAGAGCATAGACTTTGGTACAAGATTGTCTGGGCTCAAATCCTGCTCTTACACTTATTAGGTATGTTACCTTGAGCAACGTTATTGAACCTGTGTGGTTCACCTCATTGGAAAATGGAGATGATGATGCTTATACAATAGTCCCTACCTCGAGGACCTCTGTGAGGATTAAATGAGCAAGTGATATATTCAAAGCACTCAGAACAGTGCCTGGCACCTAAAAGCACTAGGAGTGTGCTAGTTCTTTATTTATTTATTCACCCTCCTGCTTCCTTTCAAAAAGGATTTCATTTCAGCCCTTCAACAGATACTGGGATGGTGATGGAGAGTCCTGCCCTTGAGGTATTCACAGGTAAACAGACATTTACAATGCAGTGTGCTAGGCGCCCTGAGAGAAGGAATCCCAGGGGGACATCCCAGAGGGGCAGCTAACCTGTAAACCAACTGGATGGAGAAGGGAGAGCTGAGAGCTCTGAAGAAAGGGAAGAAGGCATGCACCCAGGGTGTGAAACTATATGACACATTTGGGGACCTTCAAGGGTTTTCTGTGCAGTGGTAGCACTGGGTGTGGGTGGCGAGAGGCCAGGCAGGAGCCAGACCATGAGGTACCTGGGTGCTGGGACTGAAAGTTGTTCTGAAGCTGGATGGGGGAAGGGGGCATGAGTTTTCAACAGGGCAGGCACACCATGAGATTGGTCTTCTAGAAATATCCCTGGAGGCAGTATAAAAAAATCCCCTTTGAGGGGACTGAGATGGCAAGGCAGACGACACACCAGGCAGCAGGTGAAGTGATCCAGACAGGAAGTTGCGGGGCCTGAACTTGACAGTGGCAGTAGGAAGGAGGCGGCGGCGCAGCAAAGATGGTAGTTGAATCTTAGTGACCTCTTGGATGTGGGAGTGAGGATAAGGGAGGGGATTGGTCGGTGCCCAGGTGGAAGGCTGTGGTTTTCAACAAGATAGGGAAGCCGGGAGGAGAAGCAGGTCTGGTGTGTCTGAGGGACAGCGGGGGCAGGAGGCGGAGGAATATGGGAATCAGGAGCACAGCAATGGGTTTGGAGGTAGAGCCACAGTTCATAAGTGGTGATTAGCCTCATGGGGGGAGGAGATTACCAATGTCCATGAACACGTTCTCCATGACCGTGGACAGTGAAGGGGCTTGGAAGACCAGGATGGTGCTGCCTGAGTAGAGGCAGGATGCTCCCAGAGAAACCACGGAAGGAAAGGACGTCAAGTGCAGGGAGTCATCCTCTGGGTCAATTCTACAGAGAGGTCATCCAGATAATAACAGAAACACATGCTTTGGATTTGGCAATATGAGAGCTAATGGTGGACTGACTTCGGCCACTTTCAGTGATGGAGTGAAGGTGGGAAACCAGATTGCAGCAGGATGAAAAGAGAATGGAGGTGACAGTGTGAAGCCAGCAAGTGTGGCGGCTCTTCTGAGAAATCCCAGGCGAGGCCCAGAGCTGAGCAGGGGCCGCACTACGAGCAAGGCAGACAGCTTTTGTCCTCATGGAGCTCGTGGTCTAGCAACGGCCTCCAGATCCTCTGAAGCAGAGGCGAAGGTGGCTGCCAAGAGGGAGGGGGAGGGATGGAGGAGAGGATTTGAGGTGCCAAGTAGAAGTTTGGGATGGCCCCTGAGCAAGATGGAAGAGGATCCTTTTAAAGGTGAGGCACAAATTTGCCTTGTTTCCAGGAGCCAAAGAAGAGCAGGAAACAGCATCAGTTTAAGACTGAAAGCATTCCAGGAGTTGCACAGTTTTTCTTGGGATTAAGGCCATTCCCCACAGCACCTCAAAAATAGGACATTAAGGAATATAGTAGTCACTGTCCTCAGGGCTACCCACACAACAAACAGAACATGAGCATATGGGGCTGGGCCAGCGGGCCTGTCAAGGGCAAGCAAGAACGTGGGCTGGAAGGTCATGCGGCAACCGTGGATCCATGAAATACCCAATCCATTCGTTCTCAAGTCTTTCTTCCTTTTTAAATTATAGAAAAAAGAAGAAGAAAAAAACCATAATCCTATCAGTCAGAGAACACTGGTAATATCTACATATGGCTTCATCCCCGGATTTTCCTATGTATGTACTTATATAACATTTATTGCAGAGAGTTTTATATGCTGATATTTTTCATTTAACATCATAGCACAGCCTGTTAAAATACACTGCTTATAAACATTCATTTTAATGGCTAAGCAGTCCATGATATATATATACCCAAATAACTGTCCTATTCTTCTATTATTGATCATTAAACAGTTTCTAATAACATTGATAATAAAACTACCATTTTTTGAGAGCTTATGACTTACTAAGCACTGTGCCAAGTGTTTTTATATATATTGTCTTATTTATTTCACAATAACAATTAAGGTAGAAACTGTTATTATCCCTATATTACAGGAGAGGAAACTGGAGCCCAGAGAGCCACTTCACCACCACCACATACTGCCTTCAGTTCCTTGGTATCATAAATAACAACGTGGTGAACATCTTTCTACATCGTCCTGGAGAGAATGTGATGCTTTGGGTGTCTGCTGCTCCTCCGCCTCTGCACTGGCGAAAAGCAGAGGATCAGGTACCCAGCCCCAGGCTGCCCCCTGCTTGGCCCAGAGACCTAGTGAAAGGCAGCTGTCCCCTCGCTGACCACAGTCCATGCTGGAGCCTGGCACTGGGACTCCAGCGAACACCACTGTCATACTGGGCAGGGACTGGCCCAAACAGATCATCACTCTTAGGAAGTCTGAAGACACAGAGGAACGAGACAGATGGAACTGATGTAGAGACACAGCTGGAGAGAAGGCAGCAGGGAGAAATCATGAAGAAGAGAAGAGGGGGAGAAGGAAGGAAGGAAGGGGAAGGGAAGAAGGAAGGAAGGGGAGGGGGAGAGGGAGAGGTGGGCTGGAGAGGGAGAGAGAGAAATAGAGATGGGGGGTGTGGTTTGAAGCAGCAGTGAGAAGCACAGGCAGGAGAGAAGAAGAAGCTGGACCCCAGGAATGGTGGCATGACTAGTCAGCAGCCGAGAGGACAATGACCAGAGATGCTTTGGGGACACGGGAGGTAGCGTAGCATCATGAAGGGTGATGAGGCACAGCTGCAGGGCTGCCTAGACCATTTCCTGGGCTTCCTCCCCTTCATACCTCCTTACAATGATCCCCCACCTCCTGATGGGCCAGCGCTGGCTCACATATGCACATACGTTCTCCTGGGTCTCAGAATACACATCTGTCTTGACTTACGATGGGGCTACGTGCTGATAAACCCATCGTAAGTTGGAAATATCCTAAGTTGAAAATGCATTTAATACACCTAACTTACTGAACATCACAGCTTAGCCTAGCCTACCTGCAACATGCTAGGACTCTTACACGAGCCTACAGTCGGGCAACATCATCTAACACAAAGCCTATTCTACAGCAAAGTGTTGACTGTCTCATGTAATTTATTGACTACTGTACTGAAAGTGAATGACAGAATGGTTGTAAGCATACTGGTTGTTTGCCCTTGTGATTGTGTGGCTGACAGGGGCTGCCTAGCATCAAGAGAGAGGATTGTACTGCATATCGCTAGCCTGGGAAAAGATCCAAACTTGAAATTCGAAGTACAGTTTGGGTATAGAATGCATATCACTTTTGCACCATCGTCAAGTTGAAAAATCATGAGAACCATCATGCGCTGGGGACCGTCTGGGTCCCTTCCTAAGGAACCCAGTGTGCTCCAGTTCACTGCTCTCCTAGTGGGCAGCTCACCCCAAGGGGTACTCTTGGGTGTGGGACGAAAGTACTCTAACTAATGTGTAACTAAAAAAAACAGAAATTGTTTCCTAATATACAATGGAGCGACTGACAAGAGACATGTCTATCATTTATAAATAAACATCTATTATGAGGGTATGCACTCAAATTTTTCTTCTAATAGGATACATGATCAAAACAGTGTGGAAACCAGTGCTCTGGTAGAAAAAAAATCTCAGTTTTGGAGGGAGCACGGGCATGGGTTCCAGTCTCGGCTCAGTCACTTGCAAACTATGTGGCCCTCAGTGACTTACTCAATTGCCCTGACTCTCAGTTTCCTGGGACAGGTGTGTCTGCCTGCCACACGGGTTGCTGTGAAGCTGGCTGGGCATCACAGAGGTGAGCTGCCCGCTCTCTTTCCTTACCTTGCCACTACAGGGGTTTCTCTCAGCCCGGATCACATTGCCTACCAAGTCACAGAAGTCCACCCCATTTGGAAGCTCATTTGGCCTAGAGTCGTTAAATTGTAGATACTGGTACAGCTCTGCCAGCAGATTTTTATCTGCTGTTTTCTGAAGCAAAAAAGAAGAATATGAAAATGGGGTTCTTCATTTTCACAGTTTAAAACATTTTATCATGAAGACAATATAACAACCCTACAGCACGCTGAAATAAATGAGGGCATGTTCATGACCCCAGCACCCCTAAGCAAACACCTATTTACATCATTTCTATTTTCCCTTTCAGGCTTCGAGCACATGTATGCAAATATGTATGTGGAACTTCAATCACTTTACAATACATATATACACACATGCTTTTATGTCCTTCTTTATCCACTTTAGACTTTTCACACTGCTACATACATTGTGTTTAAATTTATCATTTAAAATAATATACCCCATCAAGAAGATGTGCTTTAATTTAATTAACTACTCACTGATTATTTCCGATTAATATTAATGTCATTAATAACTTACAGCATATATTTCTCCCCCTTTTTGGTTATTTATTTAGTATGAATTTCTCAAAATGACAATATTAGATCAAAGGAAATAACTACTTCTATGGTTTTTAATATATATCATTAAATGAATTTTTAGGATAAAAATATGACTATTAAAAATGTAAAAATACAGAAAAGTAAAGAGGAAACCAACTACCATCACCCAAAGGCACCTCCTAGAAACATTCCGGGGGACTGAATTTCTCTCTAACTGGGCTGCGTCATTGACGATGGAAGAACTCAGTGATTAACTGCACTGACTGAGTCAGAAAACCTGGGGTCAGATGTCAGCGCCACCATTTACTAGCTGTGCCCCTTTGGGCAGGACGTTTAAATCTGCTCAGCCACCATCATGGGTAGCACAACAGCTTCGATGCACTCTCAACCATGGGGCTTTATGCTGTGTGGGAATTTCCTAGGCTAAAAGGTGAACAAAGGATAACAGTGCCATCCTGCTCATATTCTCCAGCAATTTAAGGCATGAAAACATACAGCAAGCTTAGGGGAATCTTAAGTGGGGCAGCTGTGAGGCGGGACCAGATTAGTGCTGGAGAGACAGCGGAGAGAGCCCAGCTGTGGGTCCAAGGAAGTGGGGCTCTGCTGTCAACAAGCTGCCTGATGCTGGACAGGTCATCTAACTCCTCCTGAACCTCAGCTCCCGGGGGCGTCTGCGGTGGTCAAGGGGACCAGCACTGCTGTATGATGGGGCCCCAGGAGCTGTGCAGCATGGTGGCTCTGTGTGAGCGAATCTAAACTCATTGTTCCTAAGGGGAACACCTTCTAACTTCCAAAAATAGATGGACAAATGACCTCTGGAACACTCCTCACTCTACCCTTTCAAGGGTGTTAGGAGAAATTCCAGCATTATTAAGACATTTTAAGAAGGGAACTCTGCAATTTTCCTACACAATCACCATCCCGTTGCCAAGGATTCCCTCTCCAGGAATAAAGTCTATTTCATGTCCAGCAGAAACAATCTGAAACAGACCCAGCAATAGATGCCTTACCCTTTTACTAACGAAAGACTTGACATTCCTGGATGCTGAGCCTCTGCAAGTATACTGTGCTTTTCTCTGACTCTTGTCTGCAGAAAAACGGAAGAAGAGAGGTAAGATGTGAGTAACCATAGGGTCTGTCCACTGCTGGGTGGTAATTACAACAGTGATTTTTCAGTCAACCTGAGCTGCCAGATGCCACTCACACTATCAGTCTCACTAGATCCCCAGCTGTGGTACTGACTTACTCAGATTCCCCTCCTTATTTGATTAGACTGCTTGAGCCAGAGAAGCAGCCAGGGGGAGTGGACAAAGCGTGGGCCTTGACATGAGGCTGGGACGAATCCAGGCAACCTGTGTGGCTTTCAGCAAGTCGTTCCCTTCCCCCAGGCCTGTCCCCTCACTTATAAACTAAATTCAGTGGTGCCTCCCTCACAGGCAGGGGCATCATGAAGCTTTAACAGGGAGCGTATGTAGCACCCTGGTACAATGTGCCAGTAGTACGTAGTAGGGACTCTCTAAATGGTATTGTCCTTCCCTCCTTCCTTGCCCAAACTCAAGAAGTCAGATTTGAGGATCCTTCAGAAGAGGACAAAAATATCCTCATCTGAAACTCTGGATTCCTAATCAACTGCATTCTAGATACTGAAAAGAAAAAAAAAAAAAAAACCCCACGAAAACACCGTCAAAGCTATGAGAATGCTTTTTGCCTCTGTCTCCGGGGCTGCTGCAACTTTTCTCTTTTAAAGCCTTCTTCTCCAACTCAAATCTCTCAATTGCCTTCAAAAACCAAAAAGAAATGGGGGCATTAGGGATTAATGCAAATCTTGGTGGAGGGTAGGGGTCAAGAACTAGGCCATTTCTCCTACTGGTGTGCAAAAGGCCCAGAGCAAAGTTTGTGGCAGCACCTTGCTGTCTTCCTTCTAGGTGGTAGGGCCTTGGTGACCCTTGGTCAGTGTCACTGACCTCATCCCCCTGAATGTCACCACCGATACATTCCCCCCACCCCGCCCTCTCTCCCACTGCCCCTCCTCCTGGTTACATCTCCTCCAGGCTACACCTCTGAGGAGCACACAATTTGGAACGCAGTTCCAATCATGGCTCTGCAGGTCACAAACTATTGTTTAATCTCTCTGTAAAAGAGGGATAATAATACCTACCTTCCAGCATCCTTATAAGGATCAGATATAAAGTACTTAATGTCTTATAAAACACTAGCACAGAGGCTATCTGATAGCAGGGGCTCAATAAAAGGTAACTATTATCATTATTAATCATCATACTCTTGACCTCTCAAGACTTCTCTTGATTTCCGACTCCTCCTCCCCTACCGCCCTACCCCCTCCTGAAAACGAAAGAAAGAAAAATGAATGTCAGTGACCCAACAAGTTGTATTGATTGTCAACCATGAGCCCAGCACTACGCTTGGGATAAAAAGCTAACAAAGAAGTATGCTTCTGTGTTCTTGCCCCCTAGGAATTTACGGTCTATTTGAAGAGCCAAATCAACACAGTGGAATAATTAAGTTCTAATCTGCTACGTTTAGGATTCAAACAAGTGAGATCAGTATGAGCTGGAGCAGTCATGGAGGACTGCCCAGAAGAGGCGGGACGTGAGTGTTGGGGGAAATGAAGAAGCATCTATCTCCTTAGCTTGATAGACTGTGAAATGCCTCTTTAGCCTTCCCCCACCTTTCTCCTGAATCGGCAGTCCCGGCCCACAGGAGTTCAAGGTACTGGACACGTATGCAGGTAGGTGTGTATGTGGAGGACGGGGTCACATTAGTAGACATACATGTCAACACTGTTGCTCCAATTAAGTACACCGAGCTAAGGCAGGATGAGTGAACCGGATGGGTGTGCGTCAATGCAGCAATACAGCAATGTCTCTGATCCCTGCCGGGATTGCACTGTAGCCGATATGGGCAGGGCCTGGAAGGATGGAGGAGATGCACAGAGAGATCGCAGAAAGGATAGTTGAATGTTGGAAGAAAAGCAAGTTTCAGGGGGAAAATAACGAGATCTGAGTTTGCATTTGAGATGACAAAAGGACTTACAGCAGGGCTGTCCCCTAGGAAGGCAACTCCCAAACCTGGCTGACGACCAGCATTGCTGGGGAATTATTCAGATATACAGATTCATTAGAGATGTTCATCCCTTAGGTCTGCGTTGGATCTGGAATTATTTATTTATTGTGACTCCTGAACAGTTCTCTATTTAAATTTGAAAAAACAATGGATAATTTACACGGTACAAAAACAAACAGTACAGTAAAAATTCCCCCTCCCAGCCCTGGCCCAATCCCCTCAGCTTCTTGCACAGCCTTCCAGACATGTTCTGTTCAAATGGGAGCATATGAGACACACAATCCCACACCTTGCTCTTTTTTTACTTTTTAAAAAGCTCCCAGGGGAGTCTGATAATAAGTTAGGTTTAGGTATCACTCCTCTAGGTAGTTGGGAATAGGAGACTGAAATACGGGTGAGAAGCTGGAATTTGTGAACGTATCGCTGATTCCGCAGATATTTCCTGAGCACCTACAAAAGGCCAAACACTGTGCCGATGCCGAGGAGGCAGCCCTGAGCAGCAAACGCCGCCCCAGCCTCCAAGGGCTCTGGGGCTAGTGGGCAGAAGCCGACGGTTACGAGGTGATTGGTGCTGCTCTGAGGAGGGGCGGGGGGCCGCGAGTGCACCCAGAAGGGATGCCTACTAGTCTTGGGGTGGAGGGTGCAGGGAAGGCCTTCCCAGGCAGAGAGGAAGGACGGTGCCTACTCCCGGTGTGAGTGGGGAAGCTGGGATGGTGGGCAAGCAAGCTCTCGAGGGAGTGAGACTGGACAGAGGAGCTAAGCAAGTTCACGGCCAGAGACGGGAGGGAAACCCACACTCACAGCGTGGGAGAAGGAACAGAAAGAGGACACGCCTGGGAAGGGGGAGGGGGATCTGGATCTCAGAAGGAGCCGGTGCCCCCAATCATCATCATGCATATTCCTTAAGCACCTCCTACGTGACACACACTGTGCTAGGTGCCGTCCAGCAGGGCAGCATGGAGGCTGGAGAAACCAGTCTGGCTATAGGTGCTGACTCGGGAGAAGTGGCCACACAGCCCAGGCAGGGCAAGCTGCGGCCAGCAGAGGCTGGGCAGGGGAGCCCAGGGATGGGCTCCGGTGGCAGCAGGCAGCTGGCATCTGACAGATCTGACCAGCTGCCTGGGCAGAGGAGCAGGAAGGACAAGCAAGGGGCCCCTTCCTCCAGATCAAGTGAGGATCCAAGGTTGCTCCTGCTAGCCCCATCCTGGCTCTGACTGGCAATGAAGAACACCCGAGGAGATATGACAATACCAGGCAGCCTTGACAAGCCACCAGATCCTGCTTCTGGGAAGATAACGTCATTCTTTTTCCTGCTTTTAAAGTTATCTTTAAAAAAATCACAGGAGTAACATATAAATACATTCTTGTTGTAAAATATCCAAACATTACAGAAGTATATGGAGTAAAAAAAGTTTACCTGCCTTCCATCCCACCCCCTTTCAAGAACTGACTCCATTTGGTGTGTAGCCTTACAGACTTTTCTCCTACACATTTATACATATATAATGTCCCTGCTGTGAGCCAGGCACTCTTCTATGCCCTGATCTAAGGGTTTCCATGAGTTTTAACTTATCTAATTCTTGCAACAACCCTATGAGGTAGATACATTATTAATGTTATCACCACGTTACAGGAAACCGAGACTCATAAAGGTTAAATAATTTACCTAATGTCACAATGTGAGAAAACAACAAGCAGGAAGTTAAACTCTGACAGCCCTACTCCGGAGCCTGTGTCCCTGCTGCCATGTCCTCTCCTACATCTCAGGACACATCACAGAGACAGTGTTTTCAAACTTACATGGAATCAGTCCAAATCGTGCGTGTGTGTATTTTGCTTTTATTCACAATTCAATTCTAAGCTCTGCTCAACGGTGGGGTAGGGGAGACTGAAGCTAGTGGTCTCCTTTCTGCATCAGTAAAGAATGGCTTAATCTCTGTGAAAGGCAATTTGATTGTATTTACCAAAATCTCAAATTTCACTTCTAGGACTCTATTCTGCAGAAATACTTGCAAATGAGCCTCAAGATTCATGTAAAAAAATATTTGCATGTTCACTATGATGAAAATACCACTGAAATATTTATCCATAGGGAATAGTTAAATTAATCATGCCATATCCAACCTTTGGAATATTATACAGCTATGAAAAGAATGGGGCAGGTCAACAATACTGATTTTGAAAAATCTCCAAGAGGTATTTACACTATGACAAATAAATAAAACAAAGGCAAACAAAATAACATTTATGGTATGATTCTGCTTATATTAAAAAAAGAATACAATAACCCTAAATGTATGTGTTGTATATTTTTGAATGTATAAAAAAGTTCTGGAAGATACACACCATAGGATTAGCAATGGTTACTTCTAGGGAAGGAAATAGGGCTGGGGAAAAGTGACTTTAACTGTTTACTTATATACTTGTAGATGGTTTGAATAAGCATGCATTACTTTGCTATTTAAATTTTAAAAAATAAAACAAAAAAATTGATTCAAGAGCTGACTGACCCCAAAAGTCAGTACTGGAAAAGCTGGGGTGAAGGTAAAGCTAAAAAGGCAAACCAGGACAGCTAATCTTCGACAAAGGAGCAGAGGGCCTACAATGGAGAAAAGAAAGTCTCTTCAACAAATGGTGCTGGGAAAACTGGACAGCCACATGCAAAAGATTGAAAATTGACCATTCTTTTTCACCACACACCAAAATAAACTCAAAATGGATCAAAGACCTAAAGATTAGGCCTGAGACAATAAGTCTTTTGGAAGAGAATATAGGCAGTACACTCTTTGACATCAGTTTCAAAAGAATCTTTTCAGACACTGTAACTCCTCAGTTGAGGGAAACAATAGAAAGAATAAACAAATGGGACTTCATCAGACTAAAGAGCTTCTTCAAGGCAAGGGAAAACAGAATTGAAACAAAAAAACAGCTCACTAATTGGGAAAAAATATTTACAAGCCACTTATCCGACAAAGGGTTAATCTCCATAATATACAAAGAACTCACACTGCTTAACAACAAAAAAACAAACAACCCGATCAAAAAATGGGCAGAGGACATGAACAGACATTTCTCAAAAGAAGATATGAATATGGCCAATAGACACATGAAAAGATGTTCATCATCGCTAATCATCAGGGAAATGCAAATCAAAACTACACTAAGATATCACCTTACACCCGTTAGATTGGCAAAAACATCCAAAACCAAGAACGACAAATGTTGGAGAGGTTGTGGAGAAAGAGGAACCCTCATACACTGTTGGTGGGAATGCAAACCGGTACAGCCACTATGGAAAACAGTATGGAGATTTCTCAAAAAGTTAAAAATAGAAATACCCTATGACCCAGCCATCCCATTACTGGGTATCTATCCTAAGAACCTGATAACAGATATCTCAAGAGTCCGTTGCACCCCTATGTTCATCGCAGCATTATTTACAATAGCCAAGACGTGGAACCAGCCTACATGCCCAGAAACTGATGACTGGATAAAGAAGATGTGGTATATATACACAATGGAATACTACTCAGCCATAAAAAAAGACGAAATTGGCCCATTCACAACAACGTGGATGGACCTCGAGGGCATTATGTTAAGCGAAATAAGTCAGTCAGAGAAAGACGATCTCTATATGACTCCACTCATAGGTGGAAATTAGTATATTGAGAAGGAGATCTGATCGGTGGTTACC